TTATTTTTTTCTTTTTAAAAATAAATTTGCTCTGCGCTTCAGTCAGCGCAGTTTCAGACACCATCGCTGCTGGTGTCCCACGGCTGTCCTCCCTGCTGCAGGGTCACCCAGCTGTTTATGAGACCCGATGGACCAATAGGATCGCACTGCCCTGAAGCCCCGCCCATTACACGGTTCTGAGTCGGACACACCGTGACGATCAGCACTCTCACAAACGCAGCGTCGCAGGTGGGGGGGTGATCCGGGAGCTGTGCGACAGGACCACACAGCTGGAGGGTAGCAGAGGAGGGAGAGGGTCCTGGGGGTCCGCCAGCGCACCAGCTGGGCGTTAACTGGGAGGGTCCCCTATTGTGATGCACGCTATATCCATTACAGCTGGGAGGGGAACACGGCCTCTACCAAAGCCTGTAGATGAGGCTGGGGTCCCATTGACCAAATGCCCCATTGCCCACCTCTTGTAAGGCTCTTTGTGGGGTATTGATTCAGCTCAGGCCACAGAGGTTTCATTTTGTGAATGAGTCATTGTGGTTTAAGGGAGGCGGAGAAATAGCCCAGGCCACGCCTCTCACCGGTGTCTAAACCGTGAGGCCGTTAGTTAATACACTCACCAGGGACAATGGAAGCCTGGTAACCTGTAAGCTTTCCAAAAAAAAAGCCCCCCTGAAGGCTTACAACATGCTGCTTCTTAGCTATAAAAATGCCTGTCCTTTCTACCATTTTACAAATCCATCCCTGCGTCCTCAAAAACATGTATGTGCACACACACACACACACACACGCATGCAGACATCAGCAGTTTGATCCATCATGTAGGATTTGGCTGTTCTTCTCAGTTAAGTCTGAAATGTAAGATGGTGGCCCTTTGTCACAGCGGTGGATTGTGGGTGAAGCAGCTGTGTCTGGTGTGCTGCTGTCTCTGAGGAACATCCCTAATGCAGCACAGATGTAGTTTAAACCTGGCTCCTCCCTGTTTTCATGCTGCATATTAATGGCTGTGTGTTTCTCTTTTATCCAATAAATTTTGACTACACACGTCAGTGTACTTAAACTGCCTGCTCCTGCTAAGGAGGAGAGGAGGAGAGTGAACAGGACAGGGGGAAGAGGGGGAGTGAGATTATGTGTGTGCTGAGGATGACAATGGGAGCAACTCTGAGGATCTTCCTGCCATGTTTAGCACCTCTGCTCTGATAGTTGTGGGGACACCACTGCCTGAGTGTCTGCCTGAGTGTGTGTGTGTGTGTGTGTGTGTGTGTGTGTGTGTGTGTGTGTGTGTGTGTGTGTGTGTGTGTGTGTATCAGAGAGAGACTGGCAGGGCATCGAGCGCATGCATCAGTGAGCAGACAGATAGCAGCAGCAGCTGGGCTGCGTAGCTGAGGGTTTGGACCACCTCATGGTTGAGTTCAGAGACGTTTGTTTGTTTCTCTTTGAGGATAGAAATGCTAACATGCTACATGCTGTTTGAATGAAGTTGTCCATAAGTATGTCGAAAGAGAAGATGGAGATGTTGTGTTTACTGTCTCTGTGGCACCCTCATTTCTGCCTCGGCTGCTTTTGGCACACGTTTAATTGAGCGCAGAGATTGGTTTGTAATGATATCACAGCGTGGCCTCTCAGATGTGGTCTTGTCGTGAGGCAGGCACTCTGTCCATGAGGAAACAGACCAGCACGGCCGCAGCTCTAGGAAATCCTCTCTCTCTCTCTCACAAACGCACACACGCACACACACGCACACTCACGCACACACATACACACTCACGCGCACACATACACACACAAACACACACATATTCACACACACATACATACACATACACACACATACATACTCACACACACACATGTGCGCACACATACACACAGCACTTCAGTAATGTTTTGAGGGTTTCTATGGCAACCAGCAGCATATTTAGGCATCCCTGGAGAGAGGCAAGCTGGCACTGTGCTATAGAAAGACAGGTTCCGGACTGGGCAGTATGGATAAAGATAGTCATCACTGAAATAAACCCCGCCCCAGGAAAATATGTGTAGATAAAATGGCCAGAAGAGTTCCCTGTAGAAAACACGGCCGGGCCTGGACGTCCTGAGGACAGACTGTACTCGGTAGCGATCGCTGGAAACGGCAGGAAAAGGGGCGGGGGTGTTGCTATTTGGGGTTCCCCAGCAGCCCTCACCCCCGCCCCATCCTGCTCCACCCACCGAGCTCGGCTCACCCTGAAGAGGCCCAGAACGGCAGCAGGTTTCGGGCGGCTGGAGCAGGTCCAGCTGAGGGGGGGGGGGCTGGAGTGAGTAAACATGTGGGCCAGGCAGGGCCCTGCCCAGAGTTCAGCCCCCTCCTCCCCGCCCCCAACACAGAGGCGTCTCGCTGAGCTCCAGCGCTCTCTGACTCTCACGTGTCTCTTTGCAGCACTCATGCTGTGAGAGGGAACACACGCCTTTAAGCAGAAGCAGAGATCAGCCATTCGCTGTCATAGCCACCTAGCAGAACACACAGTGGCATATGTGTTTTTATAGAGCTCTCTAACTATCGTGGACATCGTCTTAGCTAGCTAGCAGATAGCTATAAGAGAGATAATTACAGATAGCTAGCTTTTGGCATTAATCCTTCTCATCAGTGTTGCATGCAGTTAATGAGTTACCAGCGACTCCTGGTTTCTGTGGTTAGCATAGTTGTTGAACCAATGTTTATGAATATTTGAATGGAGTTTTACACAACAAGGACCTGCAGTCTTATGTGTGGGGTGGGGGTCTGTTGGGTGTTTTGAAGGTGGAGATGTTTGGCGCTGAGAGAGGCTGAAGAATCAGGGCGGTCCGACTCTCTCCTGCCACCGCTGGCTCGACTTTGCGAGCTCCGATAAGATTGATATGCAAACCGCCGTCTGAAGCGCACCTGTGTCCGGGTGCCGCCGGTGCGAGCTGAGATTTATGTGCCGTGGTTTATTACCCCCAGTTTGCGCCCGTCCGCTGCTCAGCCTGTTAACCCTCTCTTTGCCCTGCCGCTCCTGGTTTCACCAAAAAGAACATTTACCCACATCATGGTATGCTGCATTTAAGTGCAATTGTGTGTATTCACAACAGGTACAAGAAACTGATATAAGACACAGACAGTGGCTCACTCCTCTCTGGCATATTCCAAAGCCCTGAACTACGAGAGGAGTCTAAGGGGTTTAAGATAGGAGCATGCTGTTTTGAGCAATGTGTCCTCTATATGAGAACATCTCAACTTGATAACTGCTAGACGTGAAGAACGATCTCCAAAAACAGGTGTGTGATTCGGTCCGATTTTGCAGGGAGAGGATACGCCTCAACAGCACAGTCGATGCGCACTGATAATACCTGCTCCGTGGAACAGGGAGAGTGATTCCCCAGGGAAAGACAGTACAAGAAAAAACAAGTTAACTGTGGCAAACGTGCATGACTTCTCTCTCTGATTTTTACGGTGCAGCGACGGCAGTCAGAGTTTGGGGCAGAAAAATCAAAAAATCGAAAACCTTTGTTTTTTCTAGAAGGAAGGGTGTAAGCCGGGAGAACATTTCCGGCTTTGTTTCAATGACAAGGTCTCCCTCCGCAGACTCCTTTTCTCTCTGAAACAATCTGTATTTTCCAATAGAGTGCCATGAGTAGTTGGGGGGTCAGGGTGTGGGACCAGGTGCCAGTCGGAGTGTGTGAGGGGCTCATGCAGTGGGATATGAGGGCGTCCCTCTGTCCCACACTGCTGTGCTGCACAGACTCATGGGAAATGCAGAGGCTCATGGGAAATGGCTGCACAGGCTCTGGGCTCCTGGGGCAGCTCACAGGGAGGGAACTGGCACTGCCTAGTTAGAGTGGGAGGACTGGGCCTCAGAGCCAGGCTGTGTAAGAGGAACATGAGACCACTGTGTGTGTGTGTGTGTGTGTGTGTGTGTGTGTGTGTGTGTGTGTGTGTGTGTGTGTGCGCGCGTGTGCGTGTGTGCGTGTGTGTGTGTGTGTGCGTGCATGTGCACATGCGTACGTTCATGCATGTGTGTGTTTATGTGCCTGTTTTTCTGTGTATATGTATGTATTGAATGTGTGCACACACATGTTGCACTCATATGTGTTTGTGTGTGTGTGTGCATGTATACGTGCGTTTTCCTGCATTTTGACAGTATCTATTTTAATCACTGATGCGTGGGTGTGTGTGCGCGCGCGCGAGTGAGAGATCGATACAGAAGGCTGAATATGCTCAGGTCTTTCACAGAGATTTTACTGTCGCTCGAGGAATATTTCATAAAAATCTGCACCTGGAACCTGCAGGGGATGTTGTGATGAGTGAGAATGTTGAGCACAGTGGTTCAGACAGTCATGACGGGAGCTGTGAAGCAGGGGATTGTCCCGTATTTGTGTGTCTGTGTGTTTTGTTGCCAGTACGCCGCGGTGCCGGGCTGGCGAGGGAGGGGGGTGGAAACGGCTGCAGACAGATGGGTGACAGTCCTGCCTCCTGCCTCCTGCCTCAGCCCTGGAGCTCCCGCGCTTTCCGCTTTGATTGTGTCATTCAGCATTCTGACAGGCAGTTAGCCGCTGCTAACAGGCTTGCATGCTGTGGTGAGCTGCGCTGTTTCTGCTGCAGTAATTAGGCGGCCGCTCGGTGCGGTGCGCTGCAGTTCAGCATGCACGAAACCCATGCGGTGCTGCAGCCGTGCAGGGGTTCCGCCCGTGCACGCACGGCCTCGCGGCGCGAGGGGGACGTACCTGCGTGTGTGGTGAAAGGAACCGTCGGCTTCAGTTTGGGGAAGTGCGCACGCCGTGTCTACCTGTATGGGCTTCCTGTTTGTGCGGGCCTGAGTGAGTCGGGCTTGGCACCACCCCACCCCCTTGTGTGTCTCTCCTCCAGATGCCGCAGCGCATTGCATTTCATTACTGCCCTTTAGCAGACGCTTTTATCCAGAGCGACTTACATTGGTTACAGTGTTATCCATTCATACAGCTGGATATTTACTGAGGCAGTTGTGGGTTAAGTACCTTGCCCAAGGGTACAGCAGCAGTGCCCCAGCGGGGAATTGAACAGCCAACCACTGGGTTGTAAGTCCTGCTCCTTAACCACTGTGCTTCACTGCCGCCCACAGTGCGTGTGATATCAGGGGGTGCCTGGTACCGCAGTGACGCCTGCTACTACACCCTGCTGCCTGTCCCGTCCCGTCCCGTCCTGGTGCAGGTCTCAGACAGGGGATTAGAGGGGGGTGGGGTTGGGGGGTGCAGATCCTGGGGATGTGGGCGTGTGAGGCGGGGGAGGGGCGGGGCGGGCGGCGCGGGGGCGGTCAGGTGGACCAGCTGGCAGGGGAAAGCGCATAATTGGCTCTGGATGGAGCTGTAATCCTGGGGGCTTACAGGCCTGAGAGCAGAAAGGCAGGGCCGAGCACCGCCACTAGGGGGAGCCACAGCGCCCCTGCGGGCTGGGGGTTTTGCAGACAGGCTGGCGTGGCTCTCCCCTTTCTCTTTCTCTTTCTCTTCATCTCTGGTGATGTGTCGTTCTTTTGGCTCTGCTCCACCCTGAGGCAGAGTGCTCCCTGTGTAAGAGAGTGTGTGACCGTGTGTGTGTGTGTCCACATGCATGGGTTGCTGTGTGTGTGTGGGAGTGAGAGTCACTGCATGCTGGAAGCAGTGTGATCTCTCAGGTCTTCCCCTGCCTGTGTGTCCTGTGGATGAATGCCTGGGGGAGAGGAGTGGCCCATATGAAGCAGAGTGACATTAATGTCTGTCTGTCATTTGCTTGTAGTGCTGGAATAGAAGCTTTCTGTTAAGAAGGCTTTGTCGTGCGTGTCTCTGTGTCTGTGTGTGTGTGTGCCTGCGTGCCTGTGTGTGTGTGTGTGTGTGTGTGTGTGTAAATGATCCGTGGCCAGAGAGTGTTACTGGCCTCCAGCATGTTTCACTCTGGAATGTTATTGCTGCAATTTCGGTAGGGGTGGGGGTTCGGGGGGGGGTGAACTTGAGGGTGGAGCCTGAGAGTGCCTATAACAGCCCTCCCCTCCTGGTTGAGGGCGGGGTGTTCCGTGTTCCGTGAGGGAACAGGGCTGTGGTGCTAAAATCTCTGTTTACAGCCCCTGTGTTTGAACTTGGTGTGGACACGTTAGCCATCTGTGCCTCAGGATTTATCTCCCAGCTGTGGTGGTGCACGGACTTCTGCTTCCTGGAAGTCGTGCCTTTGTGCTTTCATGACATTAGCTGTGCTTTTAAAGTATCAGATAAGTGCAGAAAAACTGCAGTTCCCTCCCTCTCTCTCCCTCCCTCCCTCCCTCCCTCCCTCCCTCCCACTTCCCTGATCACTTTCTGTTGAGACTTTCCAGAGCAGGCCTCTTGCTGGCACACACACCCACATGAGCACACACACGCACACGCACACGCACACACACACACACACACACCCCTGCTTCTGTTCTCTCCATGTTTTCTGCCGGTTTCATTGTGAGTCACTTCCTGATGGCCCGAGCAGTGAAATGGGTCCAGCTCTGCTTTCTCTCCACACAGTGCAGTTTGCTGCTGCTCTCTCTGTCATTATTTACAGCAGCACCGCTCATCCGTCTGATTGTGTGGCAGAGGCACTTACCACTGGGAGACTTGCAGCCGGAGTTAGGAGAGAAAGAAAAACTTAAAACCAAAGCGGGGGTTTTTATGCTGGCCTGCCGTCACACACTGCTGAAGGGCTGGTGTGTCATACAGAGTGTATCACTTATTATACACACGTCATGGTCTCGCTCTTTTGCAGACCCCTGCCCTTGGATTTGCATACGGTGTGTGGTGAGGGCAGTGAATTGAAGGGTTACATTACGTCACATTATGTAATTGTCGTTTAGCAGATGCTCTTTTTCACAGCGACTTACATAGGTTACAATTTCTACATGTTATCCATTTATAAAGCTGGACATTCTCAGTTCTCAGTACCTCTCCCAGGGGTACAGCAGCAGAGCCCCCAGTAGGGAATCGAACCAGCAACCTTCTGGTTAAGAGCCCTGCTCCTTGCTACTGTGCTACACTGCCGCCCTTGGTTGTGGTTGTGGTTGTGATTGAGAGGGTCCCTCCGTTCACCCCGTCTCCCTCCCCTCTCTCCCCCAGCTCCAGCTACTCCTCTGCGGCCCTCGAGTTCGAGCGGGAGCACAGGATCGAGCCGGTCTTCGACTCGCCCAGGATGTCACGCCGCAGCCTGCGCCTCCACACCTCAGGCGGTCTCTACGGCAACGACAGCCCAGCGGACTCCTCCCACAACCACAGCGGCGCCCTCAGCGTGGGCGGAGCCGGCCGGAGGGAGACCAGGTGAGCAGCATCGCCACGCCTCTTTTCCCGTCACCTTCCTCGGGGTGGCTTCGAGTTTCCGCCCGAAATCCGACGCCGTGATCGTTCCTGAGGAGTCTGTTGCTGAGGCTCGGTTGCCTGGAGACGGGGACCACACCCTCTGTGTCACACCCTTTAATCCAGCTGTTTCCACACTGAGAGCGCGCTTACAAGTGTTCATCTGTTTTTCTTTTCGCCGCTGCCTATAATCAGAAATAAAAGATTAACATTAGAAAAGGATTCTCAATAATAAGACATACAGCTCTTGCGGGTTCTCTGATTGTTCATGCAGATTTGAAATTTGATTAAAGTAATTTTAACTTTACAGGAACTTACATTTTTTGTTACACGCTGCTGTTCATATCAAGCACAGTTTAGATTGTGGTTTTAGCTCAGTACTGCCTGCAACAGGTCAGATAAAACACAGTTCAGATTGTGGTTTAGTGTGAGCTCAATATAGCCTGCAGTAAGTCAGATTAAGAGAGGACCTTGTCAGGTTGTGAGGTCAGTTATACTTTTAGCAATGTCCCTCCTGTTTGGTGCAGTTTCTCATCTACAGAAGTAAGGCAATGATTGACTGACATGAACAGTCCATTCAATAATTGTAAGTAATGAGAACTGTAGTTCAAATAGTTACCCAAAACAACAGTTAGGGTCAGGTCATAAATTAAGTCAACAGTTTAAATTATGTGAAATGAAGCAACAGTGGTTTAAATTGCAGAGTTCTGTGGTTAAGTCATAAACTACTATAAAGGTTTAACATCTGACTCACCACTTCAGTGATTCACTCACAGCTCTTGTCTGTGGGGGTGTGGTTTTGCTTTCATTTACCACATCGGAACTTGTGTTACATGGTTCAAATAGAAACTTCATCAACATAACCACAACCTCAAAGATGCACCCCTGGTTCTGTGAAAATACACAGGGACTGCCCTGCAGAAAATGGCCCATAATCTCCAGCGATCAGTCCTACCCCTACTGTGTGTGTGTGTGTGTGTGTGTGTGTGTGTGTGTGTGTGTGTGTGTGTGTGTGTGTGTGTGTGTGTGTGTGTGTTCTGCTTTGCTCATACTCATTTGTAGCACAAAACTGTGACTTCTCTCTCTCTCCTTCCCCCTCTCTCTCCCTCCCACCCTCTCTATGTGAGATTGCTGATAATGAAGAACTCATTTTAATTCTCTCATCTTTGTCAGAACAGGATGTTTATAATCCTTATTCAGTGTGCTTGTGTCATGTTTTTCTTGTTTTTGTTTAAACTATGGAGTGACTGTGGGGTGGTTTTAATTCACAAACAGATCTGTCTAGTGTTTTGTTTTGAGAGTACCTCTCTCTCCCTCGCTCCCCACTCCATCTCTGTCTCTTTTAATTTACACTGTCTCTTTCCACTCTCTCTTTCTACCCCCCCCTCTCTGACTCTCTGTCTCGATCCCTCTCTCTCTCTCTCCCTCCCTCTCAGGACGGTGAGGAGCAGGAAGCAGCAGTCTCACTCTCTGTCAGTGTCCAGCTCCCAGTCTCAGTCCCAGTCCCAGTCCAGCTCGCAGACCCACAGCAGTCTTCTCGGCTGCGCAGCCGGCGACTCCTCCCGGCTGTCCGGCCTGCTGGACGAGTCCTGCATACGGGAGCGCACGGCAGTGGACAGCGCCTGGGGTGAGTCCCGAGCCCGGGGGGCGTCCGGCCAGCCGCCCCGCAGAACCAGAACACCTGCCTCTCACAGGCCAGACACAGCACCGGGCCACACTCACACAGCCTGTTACTCCTCCTCCTAATCCTCCCCCGCTGTATACGATTGCTGTCATGTCTCCTGCCCCTCTCTAATGTGGCAGGATGCCATCAGTAGCCATTCAGACAAACACAGACCCGCCCATAAAACGTTGTGCTCTGTGGCATTCCGGTACAAAATGACACACCATTTGCTGCTCTCATAACTGTATTCGTTGCAGGCAGCCCTTGGTTTGGGAGATGTGTTGTATTTGCAGCTTCTTAAAAGCCAAGAACAAATGACTTGAGGTGTGAAAAAACAACTAAGGGAGCAAGAACTGCCACAGCAGATGTAGCCATTTACAGCAATGGGAGGAGGTGGCCTTACTGGAACAGGAACGACCAGAAGCCTTGTTCAAATACTGAAGTCTTTTTATAGAAGATGTTATCATTCTAGAATGTCCTCTAGTCCTCTAGCTATGGCTTGTGTGCGCATTCAGTTTGGACACCGCATTGGACAGGAACGCCCAGTGCAAATCAAATCTTTGGACAGTCCTTTTAATTCTATCTATGGCTGTGCATCGTGGCTCCACACGCTTTGTTTTGAAACACCTGCCCGGTCACGCCAAGCGATTAGTGTGGCTCTTTAAGGCTAGGGTTGGCTTGGCTGTGATAGCCAGCTGATCTGTGCAGCCTCTGAGTGCGATTTGGCTGGTTAGTGAAGATTGTGAATGAACGGATGTCACCTTATGTTGTGGGATCAGTGACCGCTTATGTCACTGATCTTCAGCATCCATTTACAATTGTGTTTCACGTTTTCCCTCTTTCTTTTTTTTCCAGGTTTGGATGGGGATGGTGAACTCAAAGGTAAGTTCTAACAACAATGATTGTAATTGTGATCTGTGGTGAACTCAAAGGTTAGTTCTAACTTCAATGATTGTAATTGTAATCTGTCCTTGGTTTTTAAGATGATTTTGGTTTGCGTGGTTTCACATGATTCAAAAAATTAATGACAGTTAATTAAAATTGAAAAATGAATTGTGCTATTAATCACAGTGCTATTAATCACTAAGGATGTGTGCATGTTTGTGTGTATGT